GCTTGCCAGGAGCCGCTGGCCCAGTTCCAGGAGCGGCTGGACGCACACAGAGGCCCTGTGAGCTGTGCCCTCGTGGCCCTGATGGCCCACGGAGGGCCACAGGGGCAGCTGTTGGGGGCCGACGGGCACCAGGTGCAGCCAGAGGCACTAGTGCAGGAGTTGAGCCGCTGCCGAGTGCTGCGGGGCCGCCCCAAGATCTTCCTGCTCCAGGCCTGCCGAGGGGGTGAGCGGGGCAAGGTCGGCCTCCTCCCGCCCCTCTGTCCTAGCCTTCTCGGCCACCTTGCTGGGCACCTTTCCAGGAAACCGGAGCATCTGCCTTCCCTGCACCCACCCAGCCTTTTCTGGAGCCGGGCAAGTCTACAGACCCGTCACTCAGTGATGGCCATGTTTGCAGCCTGGCAGGCCTGCACAGAGCTCAGGGCTGGGTTCTTGCCTTGACCCCACTGCTCACACCCCAGCAATCTGCCCACAAAAAAAATCTGTCCCTCCCCACCCCCCAGGGAACAGGGACGCCGGTGTGGGGCCCCCAGCTCTCCCCTGGTACTGGCGCTGGCTGCGGACACCTCCAGCCATCCCTTCCCATGCAGATGTCCTCCAGATCCATGCCAATGCCCAAGGTGGGTTCTGCTTCCTTCCAGAACCCCAGCTCGGCCGGGCTGGTGGTGGGAGCTGTGCAGAAAGCGTGTCCAGGGCTCCTGGCTGGGGGTGCTGCCACCTCCGTCCTCTCTGCCAAGGCAGTCTTCCTAAGCTGCCAGGGCTTCTGGGATGTGAGGGCGTCCTCCCCCGTGGGAGTCCGCAAGGTGACCTAGCTTTCCTGAGGTCACATTCTGGTACGTGGCAGGGCTGAGTTTTGAATTTCTGTCTTTTCTACCTCGAGCTGCCCTTGGACCAGAGGTGGGGAAACCCTGGGGATCCAGGACTGGTGGGGTCCCAGGATGCTGGTTGGTAAGTTGACTCCTCTTGCAGGCGGCTTCTGCAGGGACCCCACTCCAGGGACCTCTGACCAGGCAGACATCCTGATGGTCTATGCAGCCGCTGAGGGTGAGAACAGTCGCAGGAAGCCAGCCGCTGTCTCAGGGCCACTTCCTGGCTGAGAGCCGGGGGTAGGCAGGGCGTGGGCCTGGGCAGTCGCATGCGAACAGTGACAGCACGTCCTGCACGCCTCCTCTAGGCCTCAGTTCTGTGAGGTGGGTGGGAACTGTGTACCTTGGGCCCCGCCCAGCGCCTGCTCACAGTAGGTCCACAGTAACCGGTGTTCAATGTTGAGTCCACCCATTGGTGTGTAAATAGCAACAACAACTTGTAGCAGAGCCAAGAGCCCTTGCCCCGGCCTGCTCTCTGGCCTGGTGGTGGGATCTGGTCTGCCTGCTGCCCACCCGCCTCCCCCAGCATTAGGCCCCGGGACTGACAGCCAGCTGCGGGCCCTCTGACACCACCCTGCTCCAGTAGGCTGCGTGGCCTACCGGGACGAGAAGGGCTCCGACTTCATCCAGACGCTGGTGGAGGTCCTCAGCGCTGACCCTGGGGGAGACCTCCTGGAGCTGCTGACTGAGGTGTGTGGGGTTTGGGGGTGGGACTGGGCGAGAGGCTGGATTTGCCCTTTGCTCCAGCCTTCCTCCTGGCGATGGAGCGGTCACTTGCCTTCAATAGCACAGGATGTCCCAACACCGGACAGCGACGCTGGGCAGAGGGCAGTGACAGTATTGGCCAGATAGCAAAGTCGGGGAGAGGGCTACACAGGGGTGTCCGGGGGCAGAGGGGCCAGCAGGGCTGGTGGGAGGCAGGGGAGTGGAGAGGGTGCCCGCGGCCGCAGGAGGAGGTGACTGGCTTGTGTGAATAACTTCTGGGCCAGCAGGGAACTGAAGCCCAGAGGCTGGGGACAGCGGTGCAGCTGGGCTGGCTGCTGGGAGCTGGTGGGGCAGGGAGCTGGGCTGGCTGCTGGGAGCTGGTGGGGCATGAGCTTTCCCAGGGCGTGGGGGGCACATCTGCTTCAGCCTTCGGGACCCTGAGGGGTCCTTCTCTCAGGTCAACAGGCGGGTGTGTGCGCTGGACGTGCTGGGTCCCAGCGGCGACGAGCTCCAGAAGGCCTGCCTGGAGATCCGCAGCTCGCTCAGGTGCCGGCTCTGCCTGCAGGCTGGCAGCGCGGGGCCCCCCAACCCCGCTACCGTGACTGCAGCCACCCCAGGGCCCCCTGGTTTGCACACACGAGTGCTGGCACCTAGTGGCCTGGAATAAATAAATATCATTTGGCGATCGCTGTGCCCGTGACCGTGAGAGAATGTCAAGTACCTGGCACTTCATAGTGGCATTGCTGGGAGCCCCAATCCAGGCTGGGCGGGATGTCCTGGGAGCATCCCAGGTGCCAAGTCCCTCTCCCAGCCACAGCGGAGCCGGTACACAATGCCTCCCGCCCCAGCCCGCGCCGCGGCCCGAGACTCGCAGGGGACACGGCCTCTGCTTTCAAGCCGCTCAGCCGAGTGTGGGCCAGAGACTGGGGCGGACCGCCGCGGCTTCCCCGGTGAAGTGCTGGGGAAGTCCTTGACCTCGCGCGGGCGGCGGGGACGCGGGGAGAGGCCGGAGAGCGCTGTCGGGACGAGAGGGACCTGCGCGGTGCGTGTGTCTAGCCATCGCTCGAACTTCCAGCCTCAAAGCGGCGGCGTTGTCGCACTTGCCTTTTCTCCGGCCGATCTCGGAGCCCCGCTCTGATGCAGCCCGGAGCGGCTGGCGCCTCATCACTGTGGGCATGCACACTGGCTCACACTGCGCAGGCGCCTGCACAGGCTTTATGAGAAGAGCTGAGCAACTGACAGCCGCGGGGCCGCGTGGCCTAATGGATAAGGCGTCTGATTCCGGATCAGAAGATTGAGGGTTCGAGTCCCTTCGTGGTCGCTGCTGTGTTTGTTTTTCTAAATTGAAATAAAAATTTCCTTCTCTTGGGACTGTGACCTACACTGGCTTTTAGGGCACTCAGGCTGCTCCCAGCACCCTCCTAGGACTCCACCCTTTGCCTCCGTTCGCGCAGCTCAGACCAAGGGTGCGGGTTACCTGTGGGTCGACGTCGAGGCCGCGGCAGGGAACAACACCGGCGGGCAGTAGAACACGAGTCCAAGTCCCAGCCCGGAAGACACCGACAGTGGTTACACAAATTATGGCAGAATTTGCCAGGAACGACGTGACAGACGTGGGGATAGGGGTATTTTGGGTGGGGTGGCAGGGGAGCTGGCCCCAATGGGTCAAAGGACGTGCATTTCAAAAGGTTCGAATACTTTGATGATAATATTAGAAATAATGGTGCTAGTTACACATTATTATGAAAATAATGCCACTGAATTACGTGTTTGAAATGGCAAATTGGATGTGTGTGTTACATTTACATATACACGTACATATATATCCATTATTTTAAAATGCAAAACAAAATCTAATAGATTTCTTGTAATGAGAGTGTATCCTTACAGTGATTTGTGTAAATATATACTTAAATTTTTAAATAGAATATTTCTGGGGGGCCAGCAGGTGGTATGGTGGTGGTTAAGGTGCTGGAATACCACAGGGCTACCTACAGTTTCAGTCCTGGACCTAGTGACTTGCTTTCTCATTCTCATTCTGTTTCTCTCTGGTCAAGCTGAATAATAACAATAATTAATTAAATTAAACAAATAATTCTTTTTTAAAAAAATGTTTAAAATGGGGCTGGCAGGTGGCGTGGTGGTTAAAGGAGTTGTATTCCCACATGACCTACGGTGGTTGGAGTCCTGGACCTAGTGGCTTGTCCTCTCACTTTCCCTTTCTCTTGCTCTCTGGTCAGATTTAAAAAATAATACTAATAACAAATGGAAAAAAATAAATCTTTAGGAAATTTTTTTAATTAAAAAAATTAAAAGAAATAATATGTTCAAAATTGAGCTAAAATTTCACTCTGGGGAAAGAACATTGCTACCTGAGTTAAACACGCGTTCTCGCCAAGGAATCGTGGTTAAGTGGAATCATTAAGGCAAAGGGCTGTGAGCGGGATCCAACTGTTAGGGTAAGGGCTGCAGAGAATTGCGAGGTCTCTGCTGGTGGGACCCGGTGACCTAAGGTCTGCAGACTGTCACTTTCTTCTTTCAGTGGTGTTCCATACAAATCGTAAAGACGAGAAAAGACAGCATGTGTTTATGGGGAGGAACATAACACCTGCCGCGGGGACAGAACTCACAGTTCTTCAAGGAGACTACAGCCCACTGACTGAGCTAGCCAAGTGCACGTGGGACAGATTTCACAAGGTCACTAAGTAGATCTCAGGTCACCAGTTTCTGCTAAACCTGGAATCTGGTCTCAGCTAGACAAAGGGGTGGAGGGGACAGGGCTGACAGTTCCGCGGCTGCGCCCTCTCCCCTGCGCTCTATCACAAGTGCTCTCTTTGCTACTGCAGTAATTCTCTGCTAAAAGGACTGAGGGACTCACGAGGAATTTAAATCCGGGCCTCTCCCACCCCAAGGGAGATTCATACCCCTAGATCAAGTCATTTCTTTCCGCTCCTTAGACGTGTGCTAGCTCCTGGGGGCAAAGACTCTCAGGAGCCCACAAGGTCTGAGCGAGGGCACCTACACAGGAACTTGTGGGGAGCAACGGGAGACAGGTCAGAGGGGACAAAGAGCTTGCAGGGAACTACTGGGGTGTCAGAGACAGCCTTAAGATCGGCAGAGCATACTTTGTATTAGCCCTGGTGGCCTAGTGGATAAGGCATTGGCCTCCTAAGCTGGGGATTATGGGTTCAAGTCCCAACTGGGGTACAGGTGCTGAGTTTTAGGTAGGTGGGCCAGTACTGGACTTCCAGACAGAACTTTCCTTTAATAGCAGGTGTTTCCAAGCGTTATTTTAGCCTTGATTAAAAAAGACAGTTTGGGGGACCAGCAGGTGGTGTGGTGGTTACGGTGCTGGACACTCCCTCATGGCTGACCAGGGTTCAAGTCCTGAATCTGGTGGCTTGCTTTACTCACTTCCTCTCTGTCTCACTCTCATCCTCTTTCTCTCTCTGGTCAAATTAAAAAATAAATGAATGAACAAGCAAAATAAAATAAATAATTAAAAAAAGAGGACAGTTTGGACCTTTTACACTACCCTAACAACCACCCCCTACTTAATGACCGTGCTTATGGTGTGCGTTCAGTGTATTATTGTCACCTATATTTCTAAAGGTTCTTTTATAAGCATGCATAATTATGATATTTACAGGTTAAATCACAAGACAACTGTTTTGCTTTAAAATCATGGGCTGCTTGGAAGTCTAGTTTGAGTTGATAATGGTGTAAACGGGGACACGAGGGCATGTTATACTATTTTCTCTGTTTTGTTCAGAATGGTTTATAACAAAGAAAAAAAAAAAAAAAAAAGGAGCCAACAGGTGGCGTGGGGTTAAGGCACACCAGGTGCATGCGCGTGCGCAAAATCCTGAGAACACGGGGGGAGGGATTGTGGAGCGGCCATTCCCCCGGGAGACGCTTTCACTTTCTCCCTCTCTGGTGAGAGAGTACACAGGTGTCACAGCAAAAACCCTGAAAAATTAAAGAAAGGAAAACAAAACAAAAATGCGCAGTACATGACTTCATCCTTGATGTAGAGATTTCCCAAACCACAAGACGGGGTTCGGATTGAACCCGGCAGCCTCCACACCAGACACCCCAGGGGCTGCCAGCCTTCCATGTGCGCACGGGGAACATCGGTCTCCTTTGCCTTTTGAAGCCACAAGTGGGACCCTCCTGTCCCTCCAGGTCCAGCCTTGCTTCCCCTTTTCTCCAAATATCCCGGTGGTCTCCCCACAGGCCAGGCCTCCGTCTGATCTCCCACCATCACATGCCCAGGGCCGCAGAGAAGGGTGGCCCACACAGAAGCCGGCCACTGCTGGTGCTTTCCTGGCCGCCCTTCTCGAGGGGAAGGTGTCACCCCAAGTCCTGCCTCACAGTCTTTGGACCCCTCTCTCCACGTTAAGCCAGAGCCATCCTGGCATCAGCCTCATCAAACACAGGCCACCCTGAATGCATTCCCAGTCCCCCAGCTGAGGCACCTGGGAGGACACGTGGGCTCCTTGGGAAGTGTGCGGATTAACAAGCTCACCAGAGCCACAGTGCTCCACCGCTGCCTCCTGCTGTCACCCTGGAGCCGGTCCGCGCCCCTGGTGCCGCCTGGCCTAAATTGGCTAAATCTGCCAGTTCTCTTTTCTCTCCTTGCAGGTGCATGAGCCCCCATTATGCCAAGTGCTGGTCCCAAAATAAAATAAATAATTAAAAAAATAAAAACCAGAAAATGGGGTGCTGTTGAGAGCATCCTCAGTGTCTCCCTGGGAGAACCTCCTGGGCTGTGTCTCTAGTGTGTGCTGTGGCTGCTTCTGCGGGTGCTGGGGAAGCTTTCAAAGGAATTCACCTGCTATTTTGGAGTGGAGTGTTACCAGGTGGGTTTTATTTTTTTTTTAAGAGGGGGTTGGCAGCAGGGACGAAAAGCAAACAGGAAGTGTAAGTCCCTTCCCTTCCTCCAGCTCTCAACTGGCCACTGGGGCCTCCTA